CGGGTCGAGGGCCTGCTTCTCCCGGGCGGCCCCCGGAGCCGCTCCCTGTGCCCGGCTGCCCCATCACCCCGTGGTTTTAAGGGCCACGCTGAGCTGGCCCAGCCGCGGGGAAGCGCTGGCCCCATTGCTCTGCGAAGCACAGAGCCGCTCCAGAGCGAAGGTGCGGGGTGGGGACCCCCCGGCCGCGGGGCAGGGTAAACGCCACTGACCATGGGGGTGCTGGCTGAGCATGGGGTCGCTCCTGGGCGCCTGCAGCTTGTAGTTGAGATAGCTGGCCAGGTCCTTCACCCAGACGGAGGGGTTCTCGGGGAACACGCTCTGGCTTTTATCCAGTTCCTTCTGCAGATCCGCCAGGTTGAGCTGGAAGCGACAGACAGACAGACGGACAAATTCAACCCGGGATGCACAAATCTGGTCAAAACGCGTGGAAAGAAGAGAGTTAAGTTCAGCTCCTAAGGAGCTGCTGGGCACGGAGGGAAACGCTCCCCACCTTCACCCCGAGAACACCGCCCTTCCCGCATGGAACCCCCCTCCAATCCACCAGCCGCCAATGCGAACAGGAGTGCTGGCCTGGAAACAGCATTTAGTTTTGTACTGGAAACACGTTTTCTTCAGATCAGCAAAGACTGCTACTGGGGAATAACAAAACCCACGTGGGGAACTGCAGACGCCCGGCACCAGAGGGGCTGCAGAAAGCCCCAGAGCCAACAGAGACGTCAGGAGGACGGGTTGCGCTGGCACAGCCGCAGGAACCAGCTCTTCTCCCTCCTCAGAGCCGCCCCCGGGGAACGCCGGGGTTTTCCTCGCTCCCCGCTCCACCTTCGCGTGCGGCGAGCACCGCCTGGGACCGGCCGCCCGTGGAAACCGCCGAGGAGCGTGCCGGCGTCCTCAAAGGCTCGCTCCGGGCAGCGAGCAGCACGAGGCCACAGCTCAGTGTGGATCAGCCCAGCGTCACCAGTTTGTACCAGCACCGTCAGGCAACTCTGCGCCCAGCGTCCGCGAAGGAGAAAACAGCCAAGATCATCAAGACCAACCTGATTAACGACCTGCAACCGACAAACCACGAGTACAGACAGCAGCTCGCATCCCCTCACCTTCCTCCTCCTCTATCTGCCGCGAAACGTGCTTATCGTCTGCTTTTAAACTCAGATGATCCACAAGCTCGCGGGGACAGATACCCTGCCTGCACTTCAGGGAGCTGAGGAGCTGCAGCACAACTTTAACGCCTGTTCCAAGTTTTGCAGTCTAACATTTCTGTAGGCGGTGGATTTCAGCCACAGCACGTTATTACGTCTGAGCTGGGCACCTTTCGTTGCATGTTTATTTCAGCAACCATTTTGAAAAGAGGAATAAGAAAAAAAATAACTGCTGCTATGTCAAAAAACTGACGCTGTCAACGGAGCTGATGGAGCGACAGTTGCACGGTGGCATTTGTCACTGCTGAGCTGTGCAGAGCAGCTACAGGGCAACCGCGCTTCAGCCCCCGGCCGCTCTCCCTGAGCAATATCTGCCATGACACACAGAAATAACAGACGTGAATTCTGCTCTGAGCTGTCTCTGTGCGCAAAAGCTGGACGTGGAGAACCGCTTGTGCTCAGTGGAGCGGAGGGAACCCCCACCCCTGTGGCGGGGGAGACCAGAAGCGCTCAGGGCACGAGCAAGACGCGGCACCTGGGTGAAAGCGAGGAGCCGGACGGGCGACGGCTGCGGGAGAGCTCTGCCAGGCAGCCGCTTTCCCAGCGGACACGTTGCCTCCATAGAGTTAATTCAGGGTTCCTTTCTAAAACCTGTCCATGCTCAGACACCACAAGAGCAGGCGGGAGGAAGACAAACGAGTTCTGCAGATTCATCTGAAGCGCGGGGAGCACGAGCTGCAGAAACGGCTCCCCAGGACCTCAGCGGTACGACAGGGAGGAGGCTTCACCGGTGGCACTTCTCAGGATTCCTCCCAGACAGCAGACAGGGAGTGGGTGAAGAAAGAAACCAGAAATTCCCTTCCAGCTGCCTCCTGCCTACAGCAAAAGCACCACTTCAAGCACGAGACCGATCTCCCAGGCCAGCCCCGCGCTCGCCAAAGCGCCGAGCGCCATCTGTTCCGCTCCCATGGCAAACGCGACCGCCCTGGGCTGCGGCCGGCGGCAGGCAGGAGTGCTCGTCCCTGCGTGAAGGCGAGGACGCGGTAACGAGCCCGGGGGTCTCACGGCACAGAGGGGCTGGGGTGCTGGCTGCCTCCTCCTCCTCCCAAGGTGCGAGGAACCCCCGTGGTAAAGCTGAACCGAAACAGGGCACCGTGCTCTGTGTCGCTACTTTCAACCAGATTTAACAACGCGCCGGGCACCCAGGCTCTCGCTCCCGATGCGGCGGAGAGCGCGTGCTGCCGGAACACCAGCCGGCCTCGGCGAGGGCCAGGGAACAACAGCGCCCGGAGCTTCGGCTCCGCTGCAGCAGCACGGGTCAGGAGCGACCTGGGCGCCCTGAGGCCTGCAGGCACGGGGCAGCCTGGGGACGAGTGGCCGCAGACGTGCGCGGGCAGGGCACCCGAGAGGCCCGGCCGGGCACACTCACGGCTCTCAGGGCTTCCTCCAGCGAGCGGCATTTGCCGGCCTTGACGCTGGCGTCGTTGGCCGAGGGCTTCTTCGCGCTCTTCCCTGCGTGCGGCTTACGGTGGGGCTGCTCGGGCGCAGCGGCGGGAGGGACCTGCTCCTTGTTCTGCTTCTTCAGCGCCTTCTCGAAGCCCAGCTCGAAGATGGTGTCGGAGGTGGCGATGGGAGCTGGAACCCGGGAAAAGGGGAGAAGGTGGCGGGGGGCTGCGAGAGCACCGGGGCGGGGGGACGCTCCCCGGGCCCATGGGCGAACCG